CCTCTCGCAGAGGATGGCTAGATGGCTATCCTTCTTTGCGGAATATAACTTTGAGGTGTAGTATAAGCCGGGAAAGCAAATGCTTTGGTTGATGCGCTGTCACGCAGACCAGATTACGAGCTTGCTCATGTTACAACTGTAACGTCACCTGTGAACGTTTGATCCGCACCGCGTATGCGGGTGATGATATGTGTGTAGCGTTGCTACGGGCTTTAGAGAGCAAGGAGATGGGAAACTCGAACAAGAAATTGTCACCAAGACTGCGTGCACGATTGCACTGATACTCGCTGAATTACGGGTTGCTATATTATAGCGCCGATTCAACGGATACACCACGGATTGTGGTTCCTCATGATGAGGACTAAAATACCGCATCCTCTATAATCCTCACGACACGCCACTCAGTGGTCATCTCGGTCGTGAGAAAACGTACTGCTCTGTGAGTCACTACAATTGGTGGCCCAAGTTGTACAAATGGACGAGCACCTTTGTGCGCACGTGCGAGACGTGTCAACAGATAAAACCCTCTTCAAATGCGGCTACGCCGCTGGTTAGCTTACTGGTACCAACTGGGTGCTGGCACTCCATGATTTTGGATTTTTTGTTTGGCCTGCCGAAAGATTCGGCGGGCAAGATGGGTGTCGTGGTGTTCGTCGACCGATTGAGCAAGCTGGCTATTTGGCGGCGGTGCCAGACACCATCGACGGAGTCGGTACATCAGCGCTTTCGTGGATCGTGTTTTCCGACAACACGGACTCCCAGGGTCAATTGTCTCTGATAGAGACCCCCGTTTCACGGAAAATTTTGGCCGACTATTTTCAAGGTGCTAGGCACCAAGTTGGATATGTCAGCAGAGGATCATCCGCAGACCGATGGTCAAACCGAATGTGAATCGCGTCATCGAAGACGTTCTTCGCAGCGTCTGCGCTCAGACGCTGATGCGATAGAGCGCCATGTTGCCACTCGTGGAGTTCGCACTGAACAATGCAGGGCATTCATCATCCGGCCTCACGCCGCTCTACGTGAACGGGCTGATTCACCCTCGCGACCGCTGACGCCGCCATCCCATAGCTCAGGGATCGGTGATGGAGGAATCGCCGAACGGCTAGCTGATGTCAGCCCTCTCACCATTCTCAAAGAAACCGATGCCTTTTTGTCTACCAGACTGAGTGTCCTACGACACGTTCACGATGGCTGAAAGCCAAGACCTGCAGAAACAATATGCAGATGAAAAAAGAAGACGCAAAGTGGAAAGCTTTATGGTCGGAGACCTGGATTTATCAAATTCTAAAAGTCTTCCTTTACATGCAGCCTCTGCTATCTTCAGGACGAAGTGTCGTACACGGTTTATCCGACCGTTTAAGGTTGTGGCCAAGCGAGGCCTAGCGTATACGCTGAACTTTCCAAAACGGATGCGCGCCCACCCAGTGTTTTACGTGAGTTTGATCAAGCCGTACCGGGATCCGGCGCAAGTGAACACGGAAGCGTCGGCGCCTGAGCGAATTCCACGGGCCCTTAGCCACCCAGAAGCTGAACCAGCAACTGGTTCTGAGCACGGAGTGCAACAACCTCCCTTTCCAATGGCGCCAC